TTTTTTTTTTTTTTTTTGAAGAATGGGCTGAAGGATATGAGTTTAACGGGTTAAGCCCGACCGGTTAAACAAGATCCATCGGATTCCAGAGATCTGAATAGTGAATAGATCAAAATGCGCCCAAATGTCATGACGTTCTTCCCAATCGGCCAAAAATTTCAAAGCTAAACGCGTGGCACATTATTTGTTTCGTCATTTTGAGTCTTTTTAAAAAAAGCAGTAGCAATTTACAAAAGGAAATTTTCTTGTTTCAAATTTTTATGTATTTTTTTAATTTATAACATTAAGATATAAATTAATAATGTAATAAATATATTTTTATTATATATTTATATTGGTAAATAAAAATTATTTTTTAATTTTTTAATTATTTAATTAAATTCTTTTATTTTATATTGATATTAAATAAATGTTGGTTTTTATATTTTTTTATATATATTTATAATAAAAATGTCTTAATCTGTATTTTAAGACAAAGAGTTAAAAAAACCCACTCTACAATTCATTTATGTCTCATTCTCCGTTCCTACCCATAACATCTTTTTTTAGTCGGCATTAGCTACTGCATTTATTATCATTTTTTCTCATATACCTGGTCTTTCCCAAGAAAATATAATAAAGTTTATTTTTTATTTGTTGGAAATGATGGCTCTTTAAGAAGTATCGATACATTTCCTGAAGTCTTTAAGTTTTCAATGCATGATACATATGCCCATATGCACATAAAAAACCAATTTTTCTCACGACGTTTTTATGTGAATAACGTGATGCAGTGACTCAGCTATCTATGGATTGGGTATGGCCAAGCATCGAAATTGTTAAGCTTGTTGGTGGTCGATTTGTGAGATATCTGAAATCCCAGATAAAATATAATGATCTTTTGCAAAAGTTCGAGCAAAGCAAACAACGCTTGCGCAGTCGAAAACATGAAATCGAATCAAAGCGGGAGGCTCAGCTTGAATCTGCACCTTACCATGTTGCAACGGCGGGAGTGGAAGATTGGCTTAAAGCAGTAGAAGAATTTATTGGAAGACCGGATGTTGTCGATGAAGTGAACAGTTGGGGGTATCTCTCTTGCTGTTGCCGAGCAGTGATTCTAGAGGAAAGAATACAGGAATTGAAGGAAATATATGATAGAGGGGATAACTATACTAGGGATTGTTTGGTCATTGAAGATCACCCCAAAAAACTCAATTATTATGTGCAGAATTTTAATGAATTGAAAGAGAAGCTGCAGTGCAAACATGTAGACATTGGTTCAAAACTGAATTTACAACTTGTCTTTGGGAAAATTGAAATGGAGCAAGTCAAACGTTGGCGGGGAAAAGTGGAAGAGATGTTGAAGGGAGTCAAAGATATTGAAGATAAATTGGAGGGAGTCCCTCAGATTCTTCTAATTTTCTAGTAAAGCTTCTTGGAGAAAAGATTCAAGAAATGGAGAGAATGTGTGATGAAGGAAGTCAATTACCGGACTGTTTGGTCATTGATGATCCCTCAGCTTCAGCAGTTGAACTGCCAGTATCAAAATTACAAGGCAATGAGGCTGTTAAAGCAAAAATTTTGGCATACTTGAAAGGAGAAGAGGTGGCAAAGCTTGGAGTTTGGGGAATGGGAGGAATCGGAAAAACAACAATCATGAAGCACATGCACAATGAATTGCAGAAACAACCCAAACCCAAATTCAAGAAAATAATTTGGGTAACTGTGTCACAAAACTTTCAGATCTATGATCTGCAAGAACAAATTGCAAGCAGCTTGAAGGAGTGGCTTTCAAAGGATCAAAAAATAGCCGTGCGAGCTGGACAGTTATTCCAAATGCTAAAGGAAGACAAACACAAGCCTTTCTTGCTGATTTTGGATGATTTGTGGGAGAGTTTTGACCTTAATGAAGTTAGAATTCCTGAGCCAGATGTAACTAATGGCTGCAAGTTAGTATTGACTACACGGTTACTAGAGGTTGCTCGTTCAATGGATTGCGAGGGAATCAGAGTGAACACTCTTCCACAAGATGAAGCTTTAAAATTGTTTTTAAATAAAGTTGGAGATACTGTTTTATCAGATCATGGAGAAGGCATTAAAAATGATTTAGTTACAACTTTGAAAAGGATTGTAGATGAATGTGATGGTCTTCCATTAGCACTTATTACAGTCGCTGGTAGCTTAAAAGGAACATCTGAGTCACGGTTGTGGAGTGTTGCATTGAATCAATTGAGAGATTACAAAAGAATTGTAGCAGGTACAGATGATGATGCATTTAAGATATTAAAGTTCAGTTACCATCATTTGAAAAACCAACAGATGCGATATTGTTTCTTATACTGTGCACTGTATCCTGGGGATTACAAGATTCTAAAGGAGAAAATAATTGAAAACTGGATTGACGAGGGGTTTATAGATGAAATGGAATCTCGACAATCAATGAAGGATGAAGGTTATGGTATTTTGAGGAAGCTTGAAGACAATAGCTTGTTGGAATTGATTGAAGATGAAGCTAGCAGACATTATGTGAGGATGCATGATGTTATCAGGGACATGGCCTTAGACATTACAAGAATGAATCCTCGATTCTTGGTAGAAGCTGGCAAGGCATTGAAAGAGCTACCAGAGAGGGTAAATTGTGCAGAAGGTGTTGAAAAGGTTTCATTAATGCATAATTATATTGAAGAAATTCCATCGAGCTTGGCATTTTCAACATGCATAAGGCTCACAACCTTACTGCTAGCCTATAACAACTTGTCAACAATTTCAGAATCTGTCTTTGAGCACATACCAGAGCTAAGAATTCTTGATCTGTCCTTCAATCAGCGGTTAAGTAGCTTGCCAAATTCTGTCTCTAAATTGGTGAAGCTTACTACATTATTGTTAGAATCAACATCCATAGAAAAGGTACCATCTTTATCTGGCCTTGGATCCTTGAAAAAGTTAAACCTTAGGGGGGCAAAAATCAAAGAAGTCCCTGAAGGCATGGGAATGTTGAAGAATTTGAAATGTCTTTTTCTTTGTGGATCAGGAGGTTACAACCATCTTGAAATAGATGAAATAGCAGATGGAGTATTATCAAATCTCTCCAAACTTCAGGAGTTAATTGTAAATAGGAGCAGAATAAAATTGAAGGGGGACGTGGTTGGGAGATTGATGAAGTTGGAAGTTTTTCATGGCTGGTTCCCCACTGCGAATGAAATGAGAATCTTTCTCAAATGTCAGGCTAATAGGCCGAGTGACTATTTTATTAATGTTGGAAGCAAGTTGTTTCTGACTCATTATATTGAAGAAATTCTGCTGCCAAGATTTAAGAAAATAATGGTGTTCACGAAGACTAGTATTGTTGGAGGGAATATGTTATTTCCCTCCATACAAATATTAGGTATTGAAGCTTGCCATGACATAAGAAGCTTAAATGATTTTTCTACAATCAATGATGCAACAGATTTGAGGACATGTTGGATTTGGAATTGTAATGGCATGGAGTGCATTTTTCCCTCGTGGATAAACAACCTAGTCATCCAAACCGTTGAGTATCTGAATCTTCAGATTTTGCACAAATTAGATGGGCTATTTGAAGCAAACATCATTGCAAAGTCATCACCTCCACCTGGGACTTTTTCATCTCTTAAAGGAGTTTGGATTGGGGAATGCAAAAAATTAAAGAAGTTGTTTCCATCTTGGAAGATGGTGGAATATCTCCAAAGTCTTGAAGGTATCTCTGTCTACGACTGTGAAGAAATGCAAGAAATAATAGCATCAAATCCAGAAGAAGAAGGAGAAGAAGGAGAAGAAGGAGGGGACATCATCAAGAAGCTCATTCTTCCAAAATTAAAAGGTCTGGAATTGCGCAAATTGCCGGCATTGAAGAGCATCTGTAGCAGGAGGGCAGTAATGGTATGTGATTCTCTTGAAGAGATTATAATTAGTGGTTGCAAGGGCCTAAGGAGGATCCCTCTTTCTCTTCCCCTAGTTGATAACGCCCAAGTATCTCCTCCTCCTTCCCTCAAAAAAATCGAACTAGATCGAGGACGGGAATCGTTGTCTCAACAAGAACCGGAATGGTGGAAATCGTTAGAGTGAGACCATCCCAATGCAAAGTATTGAAAATCCTGCATGTGGGCTCAACACAAGGCTTGCATCCAACCTAAAACCAATTGGCAATAGGTGGAGTAGCCCTCCTTATATTTAACCCACAAGCTTCTTATTTTTATACTCGATGTGAGATTTTCCCACTTAACACGCCCCCTCACGTGCAAGCCCGCTATGAATGTCGGGTCTTGTCACGTGGGTTAACACGCCCCCTTAAATGCAGGCCCGGTATCAACTTCGGGTCCTGTCAGGTGGGCTAACAACGAGCTTCCCATGTTAAAACCTGGGCTCTGATACCATATTGAAAATCCTGTATGTGGGCTCAACACAAGGCTTGCATCCAACCTAAAACCAATTGGCAATAAGTGGAGTAGCCCTCCTTATATTTAACCCACAAGCTTCTTATTTTTATACTCGATGTGGGATTTTCCCACTTAACACAAAGGATGTCCTTCGACCCATGGTTCAATTTGTTCTTCATGGATACGGGATTCCATAATTGGAGTCGGAACAGTCGAAATCGGTGGATTATCCACAAGATTGAAAGGTGAGGATCAATTTGCTACTTTAACTTAGGTGTTACTCTCTGCATGTTTTGGCATTCATTTCCTACAAATTGGAAAAATTTTCAACGAATGAAAATGCATAAATAAATTCCTTGATTATTGCTAAAAATATATATTAGTGCTTAATTTCCCTTCCCCATGATTTTCAAGTAATGAGTTTTTATTTCTATTTTTTTCATTGGATCAGGAAGTTGGTTCATTCAGCCAGTCTGTTGCTTTAAGTTCCAGGCTTCAAAGGATGTCCCTTCTACTACCCTTGTCTGGATTGTTTTAGTGTGATTCTTGTGTTTTTGTACTCTCTCTGTAAATTAATTGTGTTGAAAACTGATTTAGAACACCATATTTATTCTTATGTATTTTGCTCCATTGTTATATATCTTGGTTGTACCATGTACAAACATAAGTATGTGTTTTCAATCTAATCTTTGATGAATTAGCTGGAAAGAAAGCAGGAATTCCATCCCACAACAATCAACTCACGAATTCATTGATTCTCTTCCTCTTTGTTCTTTCTTCTTCTTATTCTCCTGTTGTGTGATTGCTTCTTATTCAAAGTAAAAGATGAAAAGATTTAGGGAAACATTGGGAGCCAAGAATGGCTTTTCAGTTCTTTATTCTCTGAAAAGTTCTTAGTGTAGACCTTAGGATTCATATACAAGTCAGACTGTGATTCATATTGTCACATCTTTACAAGCCTGAATGAGATCATAGTTATTTAACTAGAATACAAGGCTCAGTCCCACACTTTCTTACCTAAGTGGCCAAGATTTGATTCTCTTTTAACTCTTTATCTTAATAAGTTTGTAGGTTTTAGCCCCTTATCTTATACTATAACACTTTTAGCCCATCACCTATAGGAATTGAAGAAAATAGCCCTTACTTAATTACTTAACATCAAGTTATAACTTTTTATTATAATTGTTAGCTGACTGTTAGTTTTGTTAATTGACTGTTAGCTGACTATTAGCATTCCATTAATAGAACTAATAAATAAAATTGAATTTAAATTTTATGTTTTTTTATAATGGAATGCTAATAGCCAGTGAATAGACTAATAAAATGTTATAACCTGACATTAAATAAGGATTATTTTCTTCAATTCGTATAGGTAAGGGGCTAAAATTTATAAACTTATTAAGATAAAGAGCTTAAAGTAGGTTTTTGTCTCTTTAATCAAATTCACTGCTGGCTTATAAAAAAAATAATCCAAATTGATTTGTCTGTGCAGGTGACACATTATAGGATGAAGGATGCATTGATACAGATTAGAGGGTGTACTAAAGGAACATATTGCAGTTCTAGTTCTTGTCTTGTTTGGTGATAGACCTCCAACATTATTCAAGAAAGAAGTTACATTTACCCCTTTCTACTCCATCCTTGACCACTCTCAGCCTTAGATATGTTTCCCAATGCAACAATGGTTATCCTGCATGCTTGCTACTTCTAGTTTTGGACAGTACACTCAATGCATGGGTTAGCCCTCATTTTTTAAGACAAGTTGAACAATAGTAAATTTTTTTTTTATATAAATTGTTTGTTTAAACTCCATAAATTTTTTTAAAAAAAATTTATTTAATTAGATATGTACTCATTTTAGTTCATTTAAAAATCCGTACATCTTCTGCTTATTGCATAATTTTTATAAAATCTATTGCATATCCTGCCATCTTCATTTCTATCTTCTCAACAAAACCATTGAATTGAGGAAGCACAATTTCAGGCCAGCAGGTATAATAAATTTTTACTTTATGATATTTTATTCTCTTATATTTATTATGAGATATTTTTATTTTTAATTATAAACTAATTCAGTTAATTAAGATTATGATGTAGTTTGTTTAATTTGATATATAATTTTATAATTTTTATATTTTTAATGTTTATTATTTTTTATAGAATATATATTATTATTTTTAATACTTTTAAATTATTTATCACCATTAAAACTAATTTGAAAAGTATAATGAGATCGAGAAGATATTTTATACAATGACTTCTAATAATATATATCATTAATAAAATAAAAGTTAGAAATATATTAACATGATTTATGTAACATTAGTGATAATAGAAAAGTAATTCAGCACATTTGTGATTAATAGGAAAAATACTTCTAGTTTGTTTTCCCCAATAACAAATATCACAACATTTAGGAAAAGACTTAGGATCAAAAGAAATATTTTTAGTTAATAAGGAAAGACAACCAAATGAGGCATGTCCCAATTTTTGATTCTAGAGTTTTATGGAAGGAGAAAAAGTGGCTATTAGACCTGGAGTCCCCCCGATTGGCCTGAAGGAATAGAGGCCATTATTCCTTTCTCCCAGTCCAAATTAACGTCTTTGATGTGAGGTCCTAAAAAATACAAAATGTTGGGAAGAAAATAATAACACAATTTAAATTATTAATAAGTTTGCTCACAGATAAAATATTATAAGTGAATTTAAGTATATATGAAACATTATCAAGGGTAAAATTGGGGGCTAAAAAAGCTCTCCCAACACCAAGAGTAGAGACAAGATTTCCATTTAGAATTCTTACATGATTATGTGTGAAAAAAGAACGCAAATGCTTAAGTTTATTTTGTTTACATGATTAAATGCATCATTATAGATGATCCAACCACTAAGGTTGATGAATTTCTTACCAAGAATGTCATCAAGAAAGGAATGTAGGTAAGTCTTTATAAAAATTGAGATTAAATGAAACTAACTTGTGCTGCTGGAAGATTTGGTTGTTTCAGTTTCAACCATTGTGCAGGCTTTGAAATGAAAGAAAGTTTTAGGAGGATTTATCCCGTTCTAATACTATGTGAAATATAATTTTCCCATTTGAATATTCATGGATGGATTACAACCATATATACAAGTGAATGATAAAGGATAAATAAAAATATGGAAAGAAAGTATAACGGGCAAAAGCCCAAGAAAAAAATAATAATAAATGAAATTAAAATTTGATTTTAAAATTTGAGATTAATATTGTAATATAAGTCATATTATTTAAAATATTAATTATAAATATTATATTATTTAATAATTAATTTTTAATTTATTAATTATTTAATTAAATTCTTTTATTTTATATTGATATTAAATAAATGTTGGTTTTTATATTTTTTTATATATATTTATAATAAAAATGTCTTAATCTGTATTTTAAGACAAAGAGTTAAAAAAACCCACTCTACAATTCATTTATGTCTCATTCTCCGTTCCTACCCATAACATCTTTTTTTAGTCGGCATTAGCTACTGCATTTATTATCATTTTTTCTCATATACCTGGTCTTTCCCAAGAAAATATAATAAAGTTTATTTTTTATTTGTTGGAAATGATGGCTCTTTAAGAAGTATCGATACATTTCCTGAAGTCTTTAAGTTTTCAATGCATGATACATATGCCCATATGCACATAAAAAACCAATTTTTCTCACGACGTTTTTATGTGAATAACGTGATGCAGTG